TGCCCCAGTGAAGGTGAGAGCAGGCTTGCAGGTCTACTCTCAGCTGAGCTCTAGTGCTGCTGCTTCTGCTGCAGGCAGAAAGGCATATGCAACCTCAGGGACATTACTGGGAATCTGTTTTTTTTAAAGCTACCTAGATGAAAGTGTACAGATTTGTGCTTTTGAGAATGACAGACTCCCACAAGAGATCTCACATCATTAAGAATCCACAATACAGCTCTTAGGCTCACCCCTCAGTCTGTAAAACAGGAACATTAACATGCATTTTACCTTTCTACCCCTGTTGAGAGCCCTTCAGACTGTGGCTGGTTATTCCTGGACTGAACAACAGGTAGCTGACCTCTCGCAACTCTACGAGAGCTGATACTCAATACTGAAAGATACCATGTTAATGTAGTCTTTGACCAGAAACTGTGCTCCACAGCTTTGATTTGGCAGTCAGCTCCAGTTCTGTGCAGGCCTGAAAGCCTCATGAGATGTGCCAACAAGTGGGTAAGTTGTAATTCACTCTTCTGGCGGACTATCTCAGGAACTGGCCCTAGTTCCCTACTTTAGCTGTACCCATATTCTCAGCCAGGCTCACAGCATCATTTATCATCTGCCCAAGTGCAGAGCAAAGTTTGTACCAGTCCAGAAGTGGCAGGAAGAGAAGGATTCTGCTTTGGAAGGACCACAGGGCTCAGCTGCTCTTATCTGAATCCTGGATGAGCTGCACCGTGACCTGCAGAGTCTGAGTCTTGCTCTGAAACTGCTCCTCAGCAGTAGCTGGAGAAATTCCACAGCTCAGCCTGCATCACAGCACCCTGAAGAGAATTTAGGATTGGATTTATGTAGGCAGATGGGATTCAGTCCCGGTCCCAACAGGACCATGTTCTCAGGGTCCTGCAAAGACCAGGTGGTCTCAGACGTCTCTCCCTGCTTGGAAAGTGGCTCACTGTCTGTCTCTGGGTTTGCCGCAGACACTGTTGATTTAGTGAGCCAGTGTCTGTTTTGCTTTCTGGGATAACTTGGGCTTTGTTGCTTTGTGGAGAAGAAAGAAAAAGGCTGGGAGCCTCTTCCCATCAGCCCCTTTTGCAAATACTGGAGCTGCTGGTTTGAGCTCCATCAGAGAAACAGAAAGGCATCAAAAACATTGGCAGAAGTGGAGAGCATTTGGCTGCCACTTTGCATTCCCTTCTCAGTCTGTGTCTGCAGGGATGAAAGATAGCATGGCTTCCAATGCTCCTGCTCAGCAAACCGATCAGGCTATTTTTTGCAAAGCCTGCCAGGGTGCAGAGGAACAGCCCAGTGGCTGACACCCGGCAGTGCCAGCCCCTCTCACTGCATAAATGCTCGGGGCAGCTGTCTTCATGCACTCAGGGGCGTCGTCTGGGTAACAAGCTATGCAACTGGCATAGGACGAGCCTGCAAGTGCCCAGCAATAGAAAATGAACTCGTTGGAGAGCAAAGACAGGGCTAATAAAAGCCAAGGGGGAACAGAACTGTGTAATGACTCCTAATGCTGTGCATTTCTATTGCTATAGCATCAAGGTACCTCAGACACTGAGGGACTGGGACCACACTGTGATATGAATGGTACAGACACACAACAAGCTGGCATTGTCTATAAAAAATGAAGGAGAGTGAGCTTTGAACTAGTTTGGGCACTTTTGTCTTAGAATCTGCTCCCTATGCAGCCCAGCCCTGACCACATGCTGTTTTCAGCCCCTAGTAGTTCGACAACCCACAGCCCTTGCGTTGCGGAGTCAGAGCAGAGCCAGATGGCATTTCATGCTCTAGCACGTGCCATGTCTGCATTGTGTGTGTATGTGCACTCCTTCAGTCAGGCACCCTTTGCCCAACTTGCGGGTTATATGTTGGCCGTCCTCCCTATCCAAAATCCAGTGAAGGTGTTTATCCTAGTAACAGGAGGCCTGCAGTGAGCAAGAGAACCATTGATCCTTCTTACCAGCACAGGAGATGCCAGATCAGAGACAAAGAAAAGACCTTTATAGCTGCTGCTCTGAAGTGGCTGTGAGTTTGAGGAATCCTTTTATGGCAAGGGACTAAGGAAATTATGGCCATGCCTAAGCCCACACACAGACACAGATTTCTGCTCTCACCACAGGGATATGGGCTTGAGAACTCAGCCCTCCTGGGTCTCGGGACTCGAGTGAGTGCTGCTGCAAATGGGATGTGGTATGTACCTGGTGCAGTGCATGAGGCTAGTGCGGAGTGCACTGAGGAGTACAGAGGCTTGTACACAGAGGAGCAGTTAAGGACTGGGCTGTTCCTGCCCTTACAAGCAGATGCTTCAGGTAATTGAAAGTCACTAGCCCAGGATTATCTCTGGAATTATTATTGACTTAGACAAAGCCTGTTGTAAAGGTGATTTTTATTTTGACAGTGCCTGAAATACTTACTGGCAGCAGGTTATCTGGTCCTACTTCATGAGTAAGGGCATGTCTCAGCAGTACAGACTGTGAGTGTGGGTATCTGATCTGCACTGGGTGGGTGGAGGCTTAGCCATCTTCTCACTTGCTCTCCTGAGGCTGGCAGGCAGGGCTGCTCTTAATTTGACCCTGATCCTCATTGCTGGCAGGGGCCCTGAGAAGTAATGGTTCACTCTGGTCAGGATCCCACTTTTCCTGGCGAGAGTGAAAAAGCAGCCTTACACCAGTGTTTCAGCAACCACGGAAGTACACTGAATGAGACAGACTCCTAAGCAAGGCATTTCTGGCCTTATGTATTCATGGAGGCAGAGTGCAGAAGCCTGCACGTCATATCCCAGCAGGGAGAGGGAAAGGCTCTGTCCATGGGGACCTTGGAACCTCCTCTCACCTCTGGGGGAGGGCTGCACTGAGGCATGCCAGGGACCCCCGTATTTGGCCAGTGACACAGCATTTTGGCTGCTTTAATTGGCTCTGACAAGACAAGGATTGCAACTGGCACCTGCTGAGCCCTCGGGGCCATACGAGGCAGCAGCTGCCACTGACAGCAGCACACATGATCCCTGGCCCAACATCACAAGACTGCGGAGTCATTTCTCATGTAGCTGGTATCATCATGGTGTCTGCAAAAGGGGCCAAATTCATCTCCTCTGTGACTCTACAGAGAGTGCTGGGATGCCAGTAAGGCACTTGGGATCTGAGCAGAGCCTTCAGCATTTTGGGGTTCACTCCCCTCACAAGGGCTGAAAAGGTCTGTGTGTGAACAAGCCTTATGTCCCATAAACTAGAGGGCTGAAGCAAGCAGAGACTGTGGGTTGGCATTTTTTTACTTGGGCTAACTCCAGCTCCAGGTCTGGAAATGCACAGCGAGCCTCCAAGAGCCCATCACTCTATCTCTTTTCTCCTCGAGGCGACCGCTCACTGTGGGCTCCCTACAACAGCAAGCAACTCCAGCTGCACCTGAGCCAGGCGGGGCCAATCACACAGGTCTCCCTGGCTGCCCCATAGACAGAGTCCCTCCACGTCCCCACTGATGCCATTTCCACAGACGAGCCCAGAGTGAACTCTCCACTGCTCTGCTCCCTGCATCTGGAGCAGCTAAGGCACTGTCCATCCTTCCTGCTGCAGAGTAGCTTGGCCAGAAGCAACATGAATCCAAGGCAGACAAGACAAGATCAGAGGCATTTATTCCTCTTTTCTCCTGAGAGCCACAGGCACCTTTACAGACCGACAAGCACTTCCATCTCCACAAAGGTCAGCCATGAGCTCAGAAGTGAGGCAGTGGGATCATCTCTTGCCTCTTCCTGGTACCCTTCTGGGCTAAAGCATAGCAGCTGTTTAACAGCCCATTGAGGCACAGCCTCACAGTTTAAAGTAAGAGCGAACCTTGCCATTTGGGGTGAGACAAGAGTACCCTGAATGGTGCTCAATGAGCACTTGACCTAGGAGAAAACTTGCATTACATTCCCTCACACTAACACTTCAATCCCCCTCCGTTTTCAGTTCCAAGTCCCTTTTTCCAGCCATCAGCCTTAAGAAGCAGAAGTCTAGCATATACGTGGCTGCCTCACAGCCCTGCTAAACACTGATGGTGAGAAATAGGGGTCTGGCAGCATGGATTCCCCATCCCTGTCCTCCCCCCTCCCTGGTCAAGCTCAGATCTGGGGCCTTTAGGACTCTTCCTTCCCTTTTCCTTCCTCAGACTGTTCTTCTTTCCCCACTGGCTGCTCCTGTTGGGTTATCTTCACCTCGTTGACTCTGGCCTTCACCTCCTTCCCTGTCCGGGGAGCCACAATGCTTAAGATGCCATCGTGGGACAATGTGGCTCTCACCAGCAAGGGGTCGACATCCAGAGGGAGGATGTAGGTCCTGGTGAACTCTCGGGAGATGAAGCCATGGCGGTCAGCCTTCTGTGGGTGCTGTCCCATCACCTCCAGCAGGTTGTCTATGGTGCGGACAGTGATCTCATCCGGCAGGAAGTGACAGACATCCAGGAACACCTGGAATTTGTGCTCGTTGAGGCTGATCTCAGAAGTGCCTCGATCCAGCTGCTTATTGATCCGAGGCCTGATGTAGTAGCCATGGTACAGGGCAGGGGCTAAAATTTCACATGGGAACACACCTGAAAATGAGACTCAGTGAGGAGTGTGGGGTTGCCAGGGGAAGGAGTTGGAGAAGGATGGTTGGCAGCAGATAGGGGAGAGTGACAGGAGGAGGCTGGGACCAGGCAAACACTGTAGTTTTGCCATCACATCAGCACAATATGGACGGAATCTCTTGTGGTTCCTGGCTTTTTTGTCTCCAAAACACACACAGACCCAGATGCCTG